TGCTGTCAATCACAGCCAGTGAGCCAATGAGGAGAGAGTGGTGGGTGGGACCAAGATGCATAGAGTGGGGCTCAGGAACGAGCATGCACCAGTGCCCCCATAACAAGTGGCTTGCTATTGGGGGTACTGGTCAAGAGGGAGGAGCCAGGAGCATCGGCAGGGGACCCGAGAAGAAGAGGATCGGGGCTGCTCTGTGCAAAACCAGGTAAGTATGACATGCTTGTTATTTAAAAAAAACCTCTTTAGGATCACTTTAAAAGTGCCGAAAATTGAGAATTAAATCTCATTTTGACATTCCTATCACGCTGTTTTTTTTCTTAATTTTTCATTGTAGGCAATTATTTTTTTACATTCAGCTGTTAGTGGGGAAACCACTGACAGCTGATGAGCCACGGGTACTGGCTGTGCAGTCAGGAATAGCGGCAGTCCCCAGCAATCTGTCATTTTAGAGTACTGTACGAGCTTGGCAACTGCAGCTAACTGCTCACTAGTGTAAAAACAGCAGCAGGAATCAGCACATTTCTGCTGCTGCCATTCACATTGTGGCTACATGCACGTGCAAATATAGGCTAAATTAGTAGTAGCAATTCCCTCCACATTAAATCCTTCTTTGCATTGAGTTACTCAAAAACGATTGCTGTGGAAGGGGCTAATAGCCATTTGAAGCTACACCTCAAGCTGAGCCAGGCGTATGGATGCTGAGGGAGAGAAATGTTCAGAGGGAGGGCAGGTACAGTGGGGATCGAAAGTTTGGGCACCCCAGCTAAAAGTTTGTATTAATGTGCATAAAGAAGCCAAGGAAAGATGGAAAAATCTCCAAAAGGCATCAAATTACAGATTAGACATTCTTATAATATGTCAACAAAAGTTAGATTTTATTTCCATCATTTACACTTTCAAAATAACAGAAAACAAAAAAATGGAAAAAGTTTGGGCACCCTGCAGAATTTATAGCATGCACTGCCCCCTTTGCAAAGCTGAGACCTGCCAGTGTCATGGATTGTTCTCAATCATCGTCTGGGAGGACCAGGTTATGTCATTCTCAAAGGTTTTAAATGCCCAGACTCATCTGACCTTGCCCCAACAATCAGCACCATGGGTTCTTCTAAGCAGTTGTCTAGAAAACTGAAACTGAAAATAGTTGACGCCCTCAAAGCTGGAGAAGGCTATAAGAAGATAGCAAAGCGTTTTCAGATGTCAATATCCTCTGTTCGGAATGTAATTAAGAAATGGCAGTCATCAGGAACAGTGGAAGTTAAAGCAAGATCTGGAAGACCAAGAAAAATATCAGACAGAACAGCTCGCAGGATTGTGAGAAAAACAATTCAAAACCCACGTTTGACTGCACGATCCCTCCAGAAAGATCTGGCAGACACTGGAGTTGTGGTACACTATTCCACTATAAAGAGATACTTGTACAAATATGGTCTTCATGGAAGAGTCATCAGAAGAAAACCTCTTCTACGTCCTCACCACAAAAAATCATCGTTTGAACTTTACAAATGAACATATAGACAAGCCTGATGCATTTTGGAAACAAGTTCTGTGGACCGATGAGGTTAAAATGGAACTTTTTGGCCGGAATGAGCAAAGGTACGTTTGGAGAAGAAGGGGCACAGAATTTAATGAAAAGAACCTCTGTCCAACTGTTAAGCATGGGGTTGGATCAATCATGCTTTGGGGTTGTGTTGCAGCCAGTGGCACAGGGAACATCTCAGGAGTAGAAGGAAAAATGGATTCAATAAAATTTCAGCAAATTTTGGATGGTAACTTGATGCCATCTGTGAAAAAGCTGAAGTTAAAGAGAGGATGGCTTCTACAAATGGATAATGATCCTAAACACACCTCGAAATCCACGGGGGATTACATCAAGAGGCGTAAACTGAAGGTTTTGCCATGGCCTTCACAATCTCCTGACCTCAACATAATTGAAAATCTATGGATAGACCTTAAAAGAGCAGTGCGTGACAGACAGCCCAGAAATCTCAAAGAACTGGAAGACTTTTGTAAGGAAGAATGGGCAAAGATACCTCAAACAAGAATTGAAAGACTCTTGGCTGGCTACAAAAAGCGTTTACAACCTGTGATACTTGCCTAAGGGGGCAGTACAAGATATTAACTCTGCAGGGTGCCCAAACTTTGCAGACGCCATTTTTTTGTTTTCTGTTATTTTGAAAGTGTAAATGATGGAAATAAAATCTAACTTTTGTTGACATATTATAAGAATGTCTAATCTGTAATTTGATGCCTTTTGGAGATTTTTCCATCTTTCCTTGGCTTCTTTATGCACATTAATACACATTTTTAGCTGGGGTGCCCAAACTTTCGATCCCCACTGTATACCGATAGTAAAAAGCCTGGCCAAGAGCGGACTCAGGGTAAAAGAGTGCTGTACCACAGAGGAGGTAAAATACTGAATAGAATTACCATCTAACGTGTGAACAAGCAGCCTGGGGAATCCAAGTCGATTCAGCTTCAGTGTGGAGAGAGCCAATACCAGAGCTAAAATAGGTGGGCAGGAATAAAGGTGGTAGGGAACCATCCACGCAGCTGCACTGCTTCTTCTATATGCAGCCGCAGCCTGCCAGCTTTATTTTTTGGAAGGTGGGTGTCCCAGGACTTCCCTTGCATGCTGTCCTCAATGCTGCTGCTTGCCACCTCTGGCACATGTGTCGGGGTTTGCCGGCTCCTGTGCCAACTGAGTATACGGTAATGCCAGCTGTGAATAAACATATATAAGGTATACTGGGAGGAGGGTCCCAAAAGCAGGGCAGAGAGACTGGATGTGCTACACACACTCTGAGTACAATGATGAAGATTTTGTTTGGGCGTGTGTAGCACACCCAAAGTCTGAAACTACTTAAGTACAACACTGTATAAAATGGAGTGTGGGTGGGCTAGAGGGTGCCAATTTTGTCCAAAATGTATTTCATGAGTATTGAAAAATAAGTATATATAAAGGCTGTGTGGATGTGGACCTTGAATGTTACATCTGCAACCGTGAAAGTCACATTAGATGATGGCTGCTGATTAGAAAAAAATCCAAATGGCTGAATACATAGTTCAATTACTGTCAAGGCTTCTGAAAATAAATCTCATTAACTGGTATGTGGATCATGTTTAGAAATGGAAAATGAATGTCATAAGACAGCTGTATGGTGGATAGGTACCAGCATAGATATTCCAAAGAAAAAAAGCAAAAGAGATAATTTTATAAAAATGTTATTTGTATCACTTCCAGTTGTAAAATTCTATAATAGGAGAAACAGAAATATGTTGTTGCTCCTGTCACTTTACTTATGTATCGAATGGCAGAAGTTCCATCTGTGCTTGTCTTCTTGATGCCCCAAAGTTGGAATTCATGCAAGAGTGGGTCCAATGTACAGCCCCCCTATTATTTAACCACTTCTGGACTCCCATGGTTACAATGGAGAATTGATATTCTGGCTATATAGCCTGCCACAGCCATCATCCTATCTAGAAAAGACATCCACTGCTGGCAGAAGCTTCCAATGTGTTGGTCAACTTGTATCTAATCTTTCCATCTGCTGAGGATTATGTCTTGAAGGGTTGTGATCACTGAATGCTGGAGCCCGATCAGTCTATGCCAAGCAAAAGCCAGCACACTGCCACAATGAAAGCTTCAGTCAGCAGTGGATAGTGTTTAAAAAAACAGTATTTAGGTCTAAGATTGGAGGTGTTGCAGGGACAGCAGTTACTCAACAAACTTAGTGAGTGCCAGAACAGTGCTGGCATGAAAATATGCAACTTCAGCCACTGATATGCCGCAATACATCTGACTTGCTTCATGGGAATGTATGAGGCTTAATTAGGGTGGCTGGGGCCACATTCTCATCACAAACATGAAATGCTTCCAAGTGACTAGAGGAGTTCCTCTATAGAGGTCTTTAAGGCTAGGTTCACACTAGCCAAAGCACCAATCCACGGTGGACTGCTTTTCAGAGTGAGACTAAGAAACCTCTGTCAGGCATTCAGGAGGTGATCCTGCCACTTTCTAAATGTCTTTTTTTGTTTATTATTTTTTTCTGCCAAATAGCAGTTTATAATGGGGCTAACGTACCACTGCCATGGCCCCATTAACATTAATGGCCACGTTTGGCAGGTAATGCTGCCTGCCAGCTTGCCATGTCACATTATGCAGCAGCATGTGAACAACTTCCTCTGGCTGTTGTTTTACCTCTAGGAAGGTAAAATCACAGCACAGCCACCTGATTTTACCACCTCCCCACTGCCCATGTGAAAGTGATCTTAGGGCCAATTTTTGGCTAATTTCCCTGCTTGAACCCCAAGCATATTTTGTACACAAACAGCAGCCAGCACCATGTCATTTTGCGGTAGTAACTGCGACTGTCTGTAAACAAATTTGGTCAATGATGTCAGCCAGGATTTCCAGCCCATTTGTTAAGCTGGCCAGGGATCTGTCATTTGTGATGGAAGTAGTGGTGGAACAGCATCGCCATTGGTGAGACAACATCCTCATGCTGTGGGTCAGTGCTACCACTGTTAAATGACAGATCCCTTGGTTTGTTTACAAACAGAAGCCAGTTGGCTCTGTCATGTAGCAGCAGTAGTGATACAAACAAACAATGTTTCTTTTAACCACTTGCCCTCCTGAGGATTTACCCCCCTTCCTGACCAGGCCATTTTTTGCTATACGACGCTGCGTTATTTTAACTGACAAATGCGCAGTCATGCAACGCTGCACACAAATTAAATGTACGTCATTTTTTCCCATGAATTGAGCTTTCTTTCAGTGGTATTTAATAGCCCAGTATTTTATGTCCAGTAAAATAATTTTAAAAAATCTAATTTCATCATAAATTTAAGCCAAAATGTATTCTGCTACGTCTTTTCTGAAAAAAAAAAAAATTCCAATACATTTAAATTTATTGGTTTATGTGAAAGTTATAGTGTTTACAAATGCCGATATAGAAACTAGAATTTTTTTATTTTTACTAGTAATGGTGGTGATCAGCGACTTATAGTGGGACTGCATCGGGCATTCTGACACTAGGGGGAACTGACTTGGTGTCACTGACATCCTCAGTAACACTAATACAGTGATCAGTGCTAAAAAAAAAGCTCTGACACTGTACTAATGGCACTGGGCAGGAAGGGGTTAACATGTGGGCGATCATAGGGTTAAATGTGTGCTGTTTCACAGTAAGCTGTGTCTGTGCTTTCAACTGTATGCACACTGCTTTGTATGGCTCTACTATGCACATCCATACAAAGCAGTGAACTGGAGCTGACAGCGGAGAGAACTGTATTGTTTACAAACAGTTTTCTTTCCCCGTCAGTAACATGAGGGGCGATCAAAGGGTTAACTGTGTGCTGGGTGTGTTTTACTAGGGGGCTGTGTGTTTGTACTTCACTGTAATCACAATGCTTTGGATGGCTGTGCTGTGCAGAGCCATCCAAAGCAGTGTGCACAAGCTGACAGGGAGGAGAACTGTATTGTTTACAAACAGTTCTCCTACCCATCGGAGATGCTCGGCAATCACCAGGCGCCGGCAAGTAATCACTGGTGATTGACAGCCGCAAATGGCGATGGGGGTAGGTAGCGCCCCCTACCCGGAAGTGCAAAATCACGCATATATATCCTTGCCTCCCTATAGCAGTATTTCTGCTATAGGGCAGTCAGAAAGCGGTTAAAGGAGTACACTGTACTGCTCTTAAACTTCACATGCAGGTTCAAGGCATCCCCCAAGCATGCTATTTAAATGATATGTGTATTTGTAATGTTGCCTTTTAAGCCACAATAAAAGACCTTCTCCAGGTAATATTTTTTTTGCATTGGTACATGTCCCCAATGACAGTGCCCAGTTATCTATATTTCATAGTTTTAGCAGAAGCGTGCAAACTAGCTTTGCTAAGAAAAAAAAAAAGATCCAGTTTCCACAGACTTCAATGGAGTTTGGCACTATGTTCAGCATTTGCAAACTCCCTGCTTGGTTTGTCGAATATCCAGAGAAACAAATAGTTTACTCACTACTATATTGAAACATGTACAGTAGTTCATCGTATCTAAGAATTTTCTGGCAAATATTTTTCACAAGATGGATAATCCACAAAAGAAAATAATCTTTATGCAAATGTAACTGGCAATTTGCTACCACACCAGCTAGCTCATGTTTCTGTTCCCTTTCCTATACAGATCTTACAGACACCAGTATACACAGCGCCACAACAGAAAAACCGATTAGGACTATGCTTCCCAAAGCATGTTTTCCTAAATAGCCCCCCAGTTGTAAAGGTGTTAAAGTAGAAATGTGAATGGTCATTTATTAAAGAAGCCCAAAAAAGCAAAACGTGCACTTACCTATCGCAACCAATCAAATTCCATTTTTTTGCAGTTTCATTTAGTTCAGGCAAATGAAAAATGAATTCTGACTTGCTGTTATGGGTTACTGAACATTGCACTTAGCTTTATTAAATAAAAGCGGTGGTGTACGACATTAGGGAACACACAGGACCCCAGGCAAAACAAATTAAAAATCTGGCACCAAGAATCAGCCAACTGAAACACAAATCTGTAAGAAAGAATTTGTAAAAATTAAATTTCCTTTTGATTAAAAGAACAGATGCATTTTATTGCAGTTAATCTAAAAGGAAAGGGGATTTCATAATGACATTTTATATTATATTCAATACTTCTTGTTCCCTGTAATTGTTTTACTCAAACTATAACAAGATATCATTTGCACTAATTTGATTTGTAGAAAAAAAAGGAGGGTTTATGCAGCAGCAAGCTGACTTGAGTTCTGATGTTTCCTTTTAAATACAAAACGGTTTCATATATTTTTAACTTAGTTCGTTTTGAGAATGCTGGTAACCAGAATTTTATATATGCAGAGTACATTAATATTAAAGCATTTATCACAAGGCTGAATTCACCAGCTGCCAAAAGAAAGGTTTGGGCTGCCCCCAAGTGGAAGGCACTGGAATTCTACAAGTGCTTTAGAGGCTTTTTTAAACAGACGATATCTGTTGTCTCACTTCTATCTTAAATTATTTAATTTTGCCTCTGGCCCATCTATTCATCCAGAGCTGCTGGCTTATAGCATGTATACACCTTTACAGTATATTAATTTATTCCAAAATGAATACATACCATGTTATGCTTGTTATGAAAGTAATGCCATCTATGAAGCTGGTCTAGTACAGTATAACCAGACAGGTTATAAACAAAGAAACACATTTCGACATAAAGGCTGCCAGTTCTCTTTCTCCATTTCCCATGAGGAATATCTTTCCCAACAGTTTGCTTATTTATGAAGCAGCTCTGGATTGTTTTGTACTTTGCCATGCCATATTTCCAGTAAATATGAACATAACACACAGCACACAATATATGTTTCAGATAACTTTATGGTTCAGATAACTCTAAGATTTAGCTAATAATGTATGGCTTTGCTAGAGAAGTGCTGGGAATCCAGTAGAATAGGAAGAGATGCTATGTGTTAGGCACCCCATACATTAGTCATTTTTAATTTGTCCAACCAGCAGGCTGAACAAAAGAAAATTACCGATTCCCCCATTCACACATTCGAGGTTGATGGGGGAATCACTCCCTCTGAGCTTTTGTATTCAGATAGTGGGGAGACCAGGGGCGGACTGACAACTCATGGGGCCCCCGGGCAATAGGGGATCATGGGGCCCCTGTGTCCTTGCCCAAACTCAAAAAAGCCTATGAAAAAGGTACCAGGGGCATCTCATGGGGCCCCCTACTGACCCCGGGCCCACGGGCAGTGCCTGAGTGTCCAAATGGTCAGTCCGCCCCTGGGGGAGACTTCCCCGCCATCAGAATACACTGATAGCCAGTGGGGCTGCTCATACAGAAATTTTCTAACAGGCTGGTTGTACAAATGTCAGTCAGTAGAGCAACTTCTATGCAACCAGCCTGCCCATACATGGATCGAAATTTGGCTGGTCCTTTCTAAACCTACAAAATTTTAATCCATGCATGGCTGGGCTTAACTGACTAAAGCTGACCATACACTGCTTGCATATTGAATGATTCTTGTTGGCTCAGCCATAATGTGAGCAGTATATGATCCTACTGGCACTGATACATTCAAGGAGAGTCAATTGTTCAATCGACTTTTGTCAAAGAAGCCTGTTGGATATTCAAGGAACCAATCAGATGCAGGCACTGTTTAGGCATTCCGAAAGCCAACAGTGCCAGCTGTCAGAGTACAATAGCTCAGCAGGGGGATTGTCCATCCACATTGTATGTGAATAGAGGAATCTGTTAGATTTCTTTTGTTCAGCCTGCAGGCTAAGAGGAAAAAAAAAATCTATCAGAGTATGGTCAGCTTAACTGAAGTCATCAAGGGCAATTATGTCACTACTGTAACTGTTGTAAGACAAGGCAGCTACTTTCACAAGAATCTTTCAGTGTCCCAAATTCTCACAAATCTTAAAGCAGAACTAAACTGCAGACATTTATTAATATTACAGCTTACAAATTAAATGTGATGGCTGCATTAATTTTCTTTTTTAGGCTTTCTTTCTTTTATTCTCTTCTGGTGATCCAGCCAGTAAGGCTCTTGTTTTTCAAAAGAACAAGTTCTCCAGCAGAATGTATCAGTTGCAGAGATGAGACAAACAAATTAACACTAGTAGCGATGCTTACAATAATCAGCTTTTATGTATTTATTTAAACCCGTTATCCCAAAAGGAGAAAACTATTTGCTGTTGTTCTGAACATTATTACTGGAAATTTTATAGATAGGCAACTCCTATCCTCATATTGATTAGTGGTTCCAAATTAATAACTACTGCAGTAGGGAACAGACACAAAAAGATACACTAAGCATCTTTCCAAATCACTGTTCTGTTTATTTGGCACGTTTGTAATTTTTTTATACACATGATTACGTAGGTATCACATTAATATTACAATTTTACTTTTATAGTAACAAGGGGCATTACATAGCCGGACTAATTTCTAATCAGGACTTGAGGGAATGCAAACGTAATGAAAACATTATTAGTGCCGTGTGAACAAGGAGTACAGTGTACAATACATAGGCAAAACATAAAAAATAGAATACAATTTTATACAGCATTTACAAATTTCCTTTACAATCTTTTTTAATCAATATTTTACATTTTGATCACAGACCACACCTACGAAGACCTTTGACCTGGAACCACCTTACATTTAGGCGGAACTAGTCCTGGTCTAGGAGGCAAACTACACTGGGGAGAATCTAATGGCTGAGAGTATATCATTACAAAATTATCTTTTATTATGACTAAAACATACATAAAAAAACAAATAATTAATAAGCAATATATGCAGAGTAATTGGCTGTACACTCAGATCCTGTGGCCAGAATGGCCTTGTAGCTTAACCGTGGACATGCTGACTTGTATAGTTAAACACAGACAATTCTACATAAAATGGAATACATATAAAACACAATATGAATTCAACATGGCTGAACTACTTTTCAAATCACATTAATTATACATACTGTATATCCATTACTAACGTATTTATAAAAGTATTTGAATAAATAGTACCCCAGACTGTAATTCCAACAGGAAACCAAATTATACACAGAGAAACTGTCATGTAGTAATTTTTTCAGTGTCTGGTGTGGATCCAGGTGTCTTTTCCATTTCATATATATATATATATATATATATATATATATATATATATATATATATATATAGTGTAAATGTCTCTTAACAGTCCACAAGTTACCTGGCTTTAGTTTATGAGATACTTCCAAACTGTTAGGATCTGGAATTTGGGGAGAAAACACATAAATGAGTTTGTAAAAACCTTGAGAGATTAGCAACATTCTCTGTGAGATCCAAGTGAGGACTTCAGCTGCTGAGAAAGATATAAGCAAGTGAGCAACACACTTCCAAACAAAATCTCATTGGGAGAGAATCCATATATTCCCTTAAGGGATTAAAAAATATGAAGACATTCAGGCCATAGTTTTCTAGTTTCTGACATCCCCTTAGTTACTTTACTTTTTTACACGATTGTGGACGGTTGGGGGTGTAAAATAAAACCTCAAAACTTTTTTGGGGAACTCTCCCAAAAAATGGTTCCTCTGTTACTCTCTCTAGCCTCTAGGGCTCTGTACTTACAAACTACTTCTGATAACACTCTTTGCTGTGGCCTTTGCAGTAGCATTTGCCATTCGCCAAACTTCTGGCCATTTAGAAATCATGTCCATACAGACCAGTGCATACTCGTAAGATCCTGACCTGGGCATCTGGATATATCCTTTTGTAATCTCTGGAAGGGATGTTCAGTTTTTGGTAACAGGTAAAGCAAGAAGCGCTATATTCAAAAACAACTGTGGTGAACCCTGCTGCTATCCCAGACTCATTTACTAAGGCGGCCATAACTGCTTCCAGTCCATTTGTCAAGCTGGAGGGAAAAGAGTGGCTGGCAGACCTAAAAGATCACCTTTTTCCAAAGTAATGTTTCATAGGAAGTTGCCCCCCACTGTGGACCA